TGGACGCTCAAGGCATAGACCTACTGTACCCAGGACGCGACGCCATAATGAAACTAGATAAAGATATGTTAATTCGTAACGACTTTCTCCTCCTCCCCTTATCCCCCCTTATTTCTCCCCCCTTATTCCTCCCCCTTATTCCTCCCCCCTTAGTCCCCTCCTTCCCTCTAGAAATGAACGCCTGAGGGACCACCTAACTCCCACCAGAAAAGCTATATATCTTTAGAACTGAGCTCCTCGCCCCACTACCCTCCCTCATCAGCCACCGAGTCCCCCGTCAGACAAGGCTTCTCTTGTTGACTTATCCGCGACCCTCTCCGCCTGGTCTAAATTACTCTACGCGAGGGGAGACCCGGAACAGGGCAAAGATCCAGGAATACCAATAGGTGACGTACAGGAGGAGCAAGAGGAGGCTTTCAGGGTCGGCTTTTCAGAATCCACCTGGAGTAGTAAGAGTCTTGCTGTGTTACCTTGGGGCTGCTGGATGTCATTGGTTATTGATGTGTGCCTCAGGTGACAGTAAAGGGTAGTAGAAGTTCGCTGGTTGGTGGTGTTGGTCAGCCAGTTAGTTATAGGTGAGTCTGGGAGTTATAGATGATGATGTTTTGGTTGTAGGAGTCGCCGAGTAGTTGTTGTGTCATTTGGATTGACATTATAAGTATTGTTTTTAGTCAACCACTGAAAAATCTACCACCGTTTTCAGTCTTTTCATTTTGTTATTTATATTAAACTTATTTATATACGTCTATTAAACAACTTTTACGAGAGAAATGATGTTTACAGTAGTCATTGCTTTACTGTCCATGTAGCGATCACTTGTATGCCTGGGTAGTTTACAGAAGCATACACGGGAAGCCATAGAAGGTCGGCGTATTCCTTAGGAAAACTTCGATTTTTTTGCGATGGCTTCTTTGGTAACTGCGATGTCCCGAACGAACTTCAAAGGGTCCCTGGGCTTGTGTGGGAGGTTGTGGTGTTTCTGGATGTCCGGGGAGGGTGGTAGGAGGTCCGGGGAGTGGTAGGAGGCATGGGAGGGTGGTAAGAGGTCTAGGAGGGTGATAGGAGGTCTGGGAGGGTGGTAGGAGGTCCGGATATGGTAGGCTGTCTAGTGCCTGTGTCGACAGACAATAACTTACCCATGACACAACCCTAACACACTATTAGCTTAGCTAACCCATTGCAAGGCGGTCAGTCCGCCTCCTAAATGTCTTGAATTTCCGAACTATAACTTTCTTCCTCCACCTTTAATCTTATTTCACCCTCTCTTTCTCTACAAAATAAAGTCCAGGAGGTTGGTAGGAGGTCTGGGTGAAGTAGAAAGATGCCATTGTCGTCTTTGGAGGCTTTTCGTAGCCTCTGTGTGGTTTAGAATGGCAGTAAGGTCGCCCCTGAAAGACTGTGATGGTCATGGATGATGTTGAAGATGGAGGACCGTCTCTGTATGATTATAGTGCTTATGGATGATTTACTAAGGTTGTTGGATCGCCTGCGGATGATTGTGACGCTCCTGGATGATTCAGAAAGTGATCGTCGAGTCGCATGTGGATGATTGTGACGCTCCTGGATGATTCAGAAAGTGGTAGTGTCGCATGTGGATGATTGAGGCTCTTCCGGATGATTCAGAAAAGTGGTAGGATCGCCTGTGGATGATCATGATAGTCACATATGGAAAATTGTACCCCCCAGGATGATTTAGGGATAATTAAGTGCCATTGAATCAAAAATATTTACTTTAAGTGGCCCTGTGGCTCTGGCTCTACGGTTTATTCGTCTCGGCTCACTATGATAATTGAGATCATCTGAAAATCCCCCTCCTCCACTTTATTTCACCTGAAGATTATCCACCCAAACGCTATCTGGAGGGGTTAGGTTAAGTTAGGGTTGGGAAAGGTAGGTTAGATAAAGTTAGGTTAGGTTAACGTTTAGGGTTAGGTTAGGAGGGGCGAATCGTCAGGTGGTCCAATATTTTTGTCAATTATTTCCGAAACACTGAACATTACGTGTCATCTGGTGGGTATCTGGAGTAGGAATATTTCATACACCTGTTGTATATAACTTAAAATAGTCAAGTATGCGTGTATGTAAGAATTAAATCATGTATGTTGGATGTATGGCTGTAGGACATATCTACACGGAAATCGATGTATATTACAATACTGTTTATTATGTATGATTGCAAATATTGTCTGTATACATTCTACTGAATCATACTTTTTTATGGAAGTCGTGATACAAAGTCAATTTATTCCACAGGCAGAGTAAATCATTTAGATTTTTTTTATTGCGAAATTGTTCAGTAAACTTATGGCGAAGTGAACACGTTATAACAAAAACTTCATCCGGTATTTCATCATATAACTGTACAGCCGTAACGTTGGTCAACTCAACTTACTGTTTACCATTGTTAGTTTACCTACACTGTCTTGATACATTGTTTGTATACCCTTATTGTCTATGTACATTATATACCCGCACTGGCGAGCTTCATTGTATACCTGCATTGTCAATATACATGCCGAATTAAAGATAAATTTTATGAAGATTGAATATTTGTCTCTGTCTGTCTGTCTAAATCTCGATCTAATCTCTGTCCTCTTATGTATCTGTGGTGGTGATGGTGCGTGACAGTACAGTAGCTGCCTCTAGTGGTGATATCTACAACTTGCTATGGACAAGGCACTTACAAGGCGAGCCGACGGTAACCATAAAACAATATTTACTGCTCGCGGGACGATGCCACACACATAAACGCACAGGATTTACATTATGTAGTCAAGACTTCTCGAGGGGGAACAGTCGTTGATGCGTGAGCGTTGATGTGTTGTGAGCGTTGATGTGTTGTGAGCGTTGATGTGTTGTTGTGAGCGTTGATGTGTTGTTGTGAGCGTTGATGTGTTGTTGTGAGCGTTGATGTGTTGTTGTGAGCGTTGATGTGTGTTGTGAGCGTTGATGTGTTGTTGTGAGCGTTGATGTGTTGTGAGCGTTGATGTGTTGTGAGCGTTGATGCAAGTTGTGAGCGTTGTTGTATTGTTGTGTTCATGTAAGCGTTGATGTACTGTACACGTTTCTCTTCACAAGATTGCCTCAGTAATTGACTCTTCAAAAATGCAAGCAAATCCCAACTCTGTTTATTTCATATCAAAATAATGCCCCCCCTCTCTCCCTGCCTCCCTCCCTGGTATATGGCAACAAGTCGAGGCGTGAGTATCATGAGAAATATTCGTTATTGATATGGAGGGAAATAATGTAGAGATAAAGCGCCGTTGTGTGTTGGTTTTATTTATTTTTACTGTTTCTTTCGTTTGGTGAGAGGTCAGTGGACGACTAGCGGGGGTGTGGAGTACTGTACCTTACACCCTCCTAGTTCTACACCCTCGCCTCACACTACACTACACTCTTACCTCGTCAGTACCTAGTGGGTGTAACATTTGGCCTCGTCATTTATATTTGTTGTTATTATAAGCATCTTCTTCCCAACACTGAGGGTTATATTATTGTCCTCACTTAGTGCGTTGGGTCTTGTGAGATACCACTTGAGGTCTCGTCTTCCACTTAGTGCGTTGGGTCTTTCCTCGGCTTGAGTATAACATATAAAGACCTCTTATTAGTGTACGATCCACCTTCCTTACCTTATAATCACAATATACAGGTAACATGTTTACAGGTGTCATTATCAAACGCCATCAAAGCTTAAAGGTTTTAATTCATAAAACACTTACCTAGTTACCCGGCAGTTATTTTTTTACAACTTTCAACACACACACACCAGCCTCAGTGGGAATAACACTTAGATGGTTATAAGTTCTTAAGTGTCATAATAAAAGTAGTTCTTCGACTTATTGGATGACAGCTGAATGACAGTTAATTTCCCGTAAGATGTGTTCCCGCCAACCTCGCTGTCTGCGCGCCATCCTGTATTTGTTTATCCGGTTTCCACCGTCATTACAGCTGATTTATTTCCGCCAAAAATTCGTCCCCTGACTGTCAGAAGTATTATATTAGACTTTTATTTTTTTTTATTTTTTTTTTTAGTTCTGATAATGCTGGAGGTATATAGGGGTTGGAGTTATTGTAGGTGAGGAAGTGTGTGGTACGGGTGAGGGAGTGTGTTGTAGGAGTGAGGGAGTGTGTTGTAGGAGTGAGGGAGTGTGTGGTAGGGGTGAGGGAGTGTGTGGTAGGGGTGAGGGAGTGTGTAGTAGGAGTGAGGGAAATATGTGGTAGGGGTGAGGGAGTGTGTGGTAGGAGTGAGGGAGTGTGTGGTAGGGGTGAGGGAGTGTGTGGTAGGAGTGAGGGAGTGTGTGGTAGGAGTGAGGGAATGTGTGGTAGGGGTGAGGGAATGTCTGCTAGGGGCGAGGAAGTGTCTGCTAGGGGGTGTCTTACGGTATATAGGTCCTCGATTGCATTCATGCGGTATATAGCGTTTTGTAGTGCATTTTTACGGCATATACTGAATGTCCTAGAGTGCATTCTTACGCTACGTACTGCATGTCCTAGAGTGCATTCTTACGCTACGTACTCCATGTCCTAGAGTGCATTTTTACGGCATTTAAACCCTAGAGTGCATTCCTAAGCCGTTAAGTGTATTTTTTCAGATTCATTTTCAGAATATGCTGAGGTTGTGTGAGGTAAATGACTTTAGAGAGTTAATTCTTTCCATATGTATATAAATTGGTGATTTATCTGCATATTGTTGCCATTTAAATTTCGCGTCATGAATCCTCGCCATAGGGAAGGAAAAAAAAAGCCCTCACTCGACAAATAATTTACCTGACCAAAAACAAAAGCCTGTCGCGTCCACAAACATACTTTTATATACCACTTTTGTTTAGGGAGAGACACCAGCGAATACTGTTTGTGTGGGTTTTTTTTTGTATGACATGTAAATAATTGCTGGGTGTTTTTTTTTTTTGTTTTTTTTTACTATAATGTGGCATTGTTGTTTGCCATTGATTGTTTTGATTGTCATTGTTTAAAAGTTGATTGTTTTTTTTTTCCGACAGGTGAGAGGAGCGGCAGGCAGGGGTGGTGGGTGCTGGGAGGCTATTGAACTCTAGTAAAGGTTAACAGGTCAGTTTCTCTCTCTCTCTCTCTCTCTCTCTCTCTCTCTCTCTCATATAGACATCTACACCTTCTCTTCTACATACCGACATCTGTACCCCCACACATTTGCTTCTTCTCTTCCAACATTCAACATCTCTTACCATACATTATTCCTCTTCCTCATTCATCTTCTATCTCTCTATCTCCTTTATTCTATCTATCGTAATATTTTTTGCCATCTTCACTCGATTTTATTAATTGTTATATTTAATTAACTTTTTTTTCTATTTGTTTAATTGGATTATACCAACCAGTGTTTGCCAATTTATGACCAAAATCGTTGGGACAGGATTAAAAAGTATTGAAAATTTCACCAAACTCTGTGTGACAGCCGGGAGAGTTGTTATTATGTTGGAGTGACACCACGACCATCATGTTGTGTTGAGGCCCATGTTGTGGTGACGTTGTTGTTGTTATTATTATTATTATTATTATTATTATTATTATTATTATTATTATTATTATTATTATTATTATTATTGTGTTTTATTATTATTATTATTATTATTATTATTATTTTTATTTTAATGTATTTTTATTTTATTTAATTATTATTATTATTATTATTATTACTACTTGTTGTTGTTTCCTAAAACCTGAACACAATTGCCTTTGAAGAAGAAAAAACTAAGATTAGTCTTTATTGGGGAGATTACCTTTGATTTGGGAAGCTGCCTGTGATTGGTCATAGAGCAGAATGATTGGAAGCTTATAACATTAATTAGAGATTGAAGTCCTCTAAAAAATCAAAGGATTACTCTCTCTCTCTCTCTCTCTCTCAATTCATTATCTTCCGTATTAAAATAAGCCAGTGAGGATATTGGACGGCCGCTAGCAGGTAATTCTCTTTTGAAAACCCTTTAAGCTCCTCCAATTCGCCGTTCCCATTTTAATTATATACCTGTACAAGTTTTATTTTTTGAGGGTCTGCTTTAAGTTAGCCCACCTACCTGCCTCCTACCTTGCCCCTACCTGCCTCATACTTGCCCCTACCTGCCCCTACCTGCCTCTTACCTGCCTCATACTTGCCCCCTACCTGTCTCATACCTGCCTTCTACCTGCCCCTTACCTGCCTTCTACCTGCCCCTTACTTGCCCCCTACCTGCCTTATACCTGCCCCTTACTTGTCTCCCTACCTTCCCCTTACCTGCCCCCTACCTGCCTCATACTTGCCCCTTACCTGCCTCGTACTTGCCCCTTACCTGCCTGTACCTGCTTTCTACCTACCCCCTACCTACCCCCTACTTACCCCTTACCTACCCCTTACCTACCCCTTACCTGCCAGATAGATATTTTAAGGTGTGAAGGTGTTATATTTTCTCCTGTTGTAGTTCTATGCTGTTTCTGATATAATGAGTTGTATGTTGTTATATTTTATGGGTTGTATTTAATTGTGGTATAATTTTTTATTACCTTTTTAATACGTTATATTATTCTGAGGTTTGTGTTTGTTTGTTATGGTGACGTAACTTATAATGGAGGGTAGAGTTCACCAGTTCTAAACCAATCACAAGTAGAGTTCACCAGTTCTAAACCAATCACAAGTAGCGTTCACCAGTTCTAAACCAATCACAAGTGCGTTCATCAGCTCTAAACCCAATCTGGCGATCGGTTTCTAAACCAATCACAAGTAGAGTTCACCAGTTCTAAACCAATCACAAGTAGAGTTCACCAGTTCTAAACCAATCACAAGTAGCGTTCACCAGTTCTAAACCAATCACAAGTGCGTTCATCAGCTCTAAACCCAATCACAAGTGGCGTTCACTATCACCCAATCACAAGCAACATTAACTAACTATAAACCAATCTCAAGCAGCGTTAACCAGCCCAATCTCAAGCAACATTCACCAGCTATAAACCCCGAGGCCAGCTATAAACCCTGAGGCCAGCTATAAACCCTGAGGCCAGCTATAAGCAGGCCAGCTATAAGCCCGAGGCCAGCTAAGCGAGGCCAGCTAAACCCTGAGGCCAGCTATAAGCCTGAGGCCCAATCTCAAGCAACATTCACCAGCTATAAACCCCGAGGCCAGCTATAAACCCTGAGGCCAGCTATAAACCCTGAGGCCAGCTATAAACCCCGAGGGCCAGCTATAAACCCTGAGGCCAGCTATAAACCCTGAGGCCAGCTATAAACCCTGAGGCCAGCTATAAACCCCGAGGCCAGCTATAAACCCTGAGGCCAGCTATATAGGAACAAAGAGTCTTGTGTACGTCATTGGTGAAGGAGACAAGGGTCACCCCGAGGCCAGATGATCCATTGTTTACTAATGATATATATTACCTGGTGGGTGACGTGTCGACTCAGGGAGCATCTTGGCGTGTTTTCGTCCGCACTCAGAAAATAATGATGTGTTGTGTTGGTGATGTGTTTGTTGTGTTGATGTGTTTGTTGTGTCGTTGTGTTGATGTGTTTGTTGTGTTGTTAATGTGTTTGTTGTGTTGGTGATGTGTTTGTTGTGTTGATGTCTTTGTTGTTGTGTTGGTGATGTGTTTGTTGTGTTGATGTGTTTGTTGTGTCGTTGTGTTGATGTGTTTGTTGTGTTGTTAATGTGTTTATTACATAAGTATTTCATGGTGTTAACTCTGGATGTTGACTTTGTGCTCAAGGGGTTAAGTCATCGTATTCAAGGGGTTAAATCATCGTACTAAAGGGGTTAATACACCACAGTGGGGTTGTAGATTATTGTGACAGTAACCCCCAATATATGGACTCAACTTGACCCAACCAGGAAGTAGTAAGTAACATAATGACCTTGTGTGAGGGGCAGGTAGTTTGAGTGGCACTGTGACCTTGTTTACCTGGCTGGCACTTCCGTTACTCCCTCGACGTAGAGCGTAACTTAACACCTGAACTGTCATTGGTCGGTGAAACTGATGACGTCACCCCCCATCTATGACGTCATCGTAAATATATGTAAGACTATTTCCGTGTTACTGTTTTCATGTTGTAGTTGTTACTATTGATCTAACCAGAGAGAGAGAAAGAAAATGAAAGGAAAATAGCGGATCAAAGAGGGTAAACTCAGGTAGACCGGAAAGTCATCGTATTCAAGGGGTCAAGTCATCGTATTCAAGGGGTCAAGTCATCGTATTCAAGGGGTCAAGTCATCGTATTCAAGGGGTCAAGTCATCGTATTCAAGGGGTCAAGTCATCGTATTCAAGGGGTTAAGAGGAAGAGCGAAGAATGGATCGAAGTAAAACGTAAGATGAAGGAGGAGGAGGAGGAAGAGAAAGGAGAAAAAAAAGAAAGTCAAAAGAAGAGAAAGAAGAAATGTCGAAAGAAGAATAATAAAGTGAGAAGAAGAGAAGAAGTCGACAGAAGAAAAATCGAAAGAAGATGAATAAAGTAAGAAGTCGAAAGAAGATGATAAAAGAAAAGAGAAAAATAATAAAATAGAAAATTAGAGAAAACAATAAATGGCTACAGTTGAAAACGCTGAAATCTTATCGGGTACAGCTGTCAACGCTCAGAGCTTATTGGTTACAGCTGTCAACGCTAAAAGGTTATTGGCTACAGCTGTCAATGCTAAGAGCTTATTGGCTACAGTTGTCAACGCTCAGAACTTATTGGTTACAGCTGTCAACGCTAAAAGGTTTTTGGCTACAGCTGTCAACGCTAAAAGGTTATTGGCTACAGCTGTCAATGCTAAGAGCTTATTGGTTACAGCTGTCAACGCTCAGAGCTTATTGGTTACAGCTGTCAGCGCTAAAAGGTTATTGGCTACAGCTGTCAATGCTAAGAGCTTATTGGCTACAGCTGTCAACGCTCAGAGCTTATTGGTTACAGCTGTCAGCGCTAAAAGGTTATTGGCTACAGCTGTCAACGCTAAGAGCTTATTGGCTACAGTTGTCAACGCTCAGAACTTATTGGTTACAGCTGTCAACGCTAAAAGGTTATTGGCTACAGCTGTCAACGCTAAAAGGTTATTGGCTACAGCTGTCAATGCTAAGAGCTTATTGGCTACAGTTGTCAACGCTCAGAGCTTATTGGCTACAGCTGTCAACGCTAAAAGGTTATTGGCTACAGCTGTCAGTGCTAAGAGCTTATTGGCTACAGTTGTCAACGCTCAGAGCTTATTGGCTACAGCTGTCAACGCGAAGAGCTTATTGGCTACAGCTGTCAACGCTTCCATATGTTTGTTTACGGCAGCAGGTAAGGTAAACAAACACCTGATGGTCGTGCCGGTGTTGACGCTCTCAGGTATTAGCGTACGGGTGACCAATCCTGGGGCAATTTAGCGCGACTGCCACTATTGAACGGCAGGCGTCAGGGTCCAGGGGGTACAGACACCGGCTTTCTAATTGGTCCCCAGTCTGTGAGAACAACGACTGGTGATTGGATGCTTGACTGATGGGATAAAGGCAGTTGGACGGTCGACTGGTTGCACTAAGACACCTAATTGGATGGTCGACTGGTGGGAGATTGACCCTAATTGGACGGTCGACTGGTGGGAGACTGACCCTAATTGGACGGTCGACTGGTGGGAGACTGACCCTAATTGGATGGTCGACTGGTGGGAGATTGACCCTAATTGGACGATCGACTGGTAGGAGACTGACCCTAATTGGACGCTCGACTGGTGGGACCAGATCACAGTTTAGGTCTAAATGGTCAATTAATTAAGTGAGATGGTTCTTCAAGGCTGAGTCTCTCTCTCTCTCTCTCTCTCTCTCTCTCCTCTCCCCCCTTCTTCCCTCACCTCCTTCCTTCCCTCACCCCACCCCTCCTCCACCACCCCTCCTCCCACCCACCCCCACCCCTCCCACCCCTCCTCACCCACCCACCCCCACCCCACCCCCACCCCACCCCTCTCCACACGTGCCTACCCGCTCTGTCCAGGACTCCCCCCCCCCCTCCCCGTGGATAAGTACCTTGATGTAAAATTTGTAAAGGTACAGAATTTTTTGGACAGCATATGTATATAGATTGTGGAAAGAGTGGAAATACTTCTTGTTACTCGCTGGT